GTGTTGTCTGGCGTGTGAACGGTGATTGACACAGTTGGTTGGCAGAACTCATATCTGAATAAAAGGAAGGGGACAGACTGTGGACATGAATGACATCCATGCGTGTACATTGGCAAAAATGCGTGTGCAAAACGTGTGTTTGGCACGTCCGTACGACCTGCCTTGGCATTTATAGAAGATGGTCAGTGACACGCCCGTCTTGGAACGCAGCTAGGTGCGCAACAGTGCTGTGGCCCGGATCAAGTAACAAGAGGCTGGCCAGGATCGGTGTTTCTCTCTTTGGGACACAACACCATCGCATCAGCACCATCGTTGATAGGTAAGAACAAAAAAACCGGACGCGCAGATCTTAATCCATGACGTCATTGGTGTTGTATGTTGGTTCAGACAGCTCCCACCTTCATCTTGACGAAGATCACCATGCTGGACACCCACTTTTTCACCTTCTCCCTTCGCATCGCAAGCGTGCTGGAGTTTCTGGTGGCGCTGGCCTTCCCATACGCCTTCCTGATGAGCAACAAGGGCATCGCCATGCTCAACGGGTTCGTCCTGCCCTTACAGAAGGGCGGGATGACCGATGCCGCATTGGCGGAGGCACAGCAGGCATCTATCGAGTCCATTCGGGCTGTCAGCGCGCCCACGGCATTCCTCTGCCTCGTCGCGCAGTTCGGCGTGCTGTTTATGCTCGGCTTCCAGGTGAGATGGTGTCGGATTGGCTGACCATCCAAAGAGCTGGCTTGATGGCTCCTTGGGGTGTCTGTGTCCTATCCCTCTCTGTCTGTGTGCGTCTTTGATCGATCAGCTGCGTGTGTCGTGGCTGGCGACAGCAACTCACATAAGGCAATACCGGTCCGGGTGTGATCTGCTGCACATGGGCGTGCTCTTTGGCCTCATTTGGACGTGCATCCACTTCGGCATCTGGGGCATGGCGTCCAACTACATCAATGCGCCCGACGCACAAGTGGCGGAGCTCATCCGGGGACCGTTCCTGATGGTACGTAACGACACACAAGGGCGCTGCAGTGTACCTTCGTGGCTCGTGTGTGTGGACGTGCGTGTCAGACGATGGCGATGCTGGGCGACATCTTTTTCTCGGCTCAGTGCCTCATGTACGGCCCGGCCATCTTTCTGCTCGACCGCTACCAGCCCACCGAGGTGACTGGAGGTGTGGCCAGCAAGCCCAAGGGCAGCACATGGCTCGGATGGGCAGTCATCATCACCAGAATGGCCACCAGCTGCGCAAGTAAGCCAGCGGCTAGGCAGGAAGGCAGAGAGGAGGGGGGGTGCGATGGCTGTGTGTACCTGTTTGCGCGTGTGCAGTATGTGGGCGTGTGATCATTCCAATGACGTGGACCCCCACCCTGACGACGCCCTATGTGTGGCTGGCGCTGTCCTTCATGCTGGTCGCCGGAGCGTGCAGCACCGCATGGGCATTTACCTTCGAGCCAGCCGTCAATCGCCAGCTGATGCTGCTCGAGGGCGGACAGGCCAAGACACACTCACCGACCAAACGCAGATGAGCCTGGAGTGCTCAACCGAGAGAGATGGACTGGCCTCTGTGTTGTGTGTGTACGTGTGTATGGGTGGGAGTCTGTGAGTGAGTCATTTTGTAGTGAGATTGATGGATGGATGGATGGATGGATGGGCGGCGGCCTGGCTGGCTGGCAAAGCAGGGTATGTATGTGTCATATGGCGGTTAGCCGAGACCTTGAGCATCTTTTTCGTTGGACTGAGAGCGTTTGAGAGTATTTGTTGGCGTCTGTGTGGGGGTAGTCTCCCACACAGGGACAGGCCACGCCACATGAGGGCGGGGGAGCCAGTCCATTTTCTCATTGTCATCGACTGCACCAATGGTCATCTTTTTCGCCTTCCTTTTCATACGACAAGTCTTTTTCTGTCTTGACGAGACACGCATGACGAATGTTCTCTTCAACGACACTCAATTGTGGACTCATCTGTCCACCTGCAATTACGGCACTCACACGTACATGTACATCCTACGACGCCGCAACCCCATACAAAGACGCCGCACGTCATGGCACTCCAATAAAAGCACAAGGCAAATCAGCACAGTCTTGCCACGAATCAACGCCCCATCCATCATGCCATTAATTGATCATCACAGTGTCCTTGCAACTCGTACACTACACCTGAGTAGTACTGCTTTTTTCATGCACTCTTGGACACATCTGTCTGTCTGTCTGGCTGGCTGGCTTGTTCACTATCGCACCAACCCATCCCATCCGCCATGGATAAAAATCACAATGCACGCATCACAGAAGAAATGAAGGAAGGGCTCGCTGCCTGCCTGCCCGCTTAATCCCGGTGTCCCTGATTGTATACGTGCACCGCACTCTTGGCCTTGGCGCGACACACGGGGTAGGTCAGCACCTTCTTCTTGTCCTTCTTGGCCGTATCCTTCATTCGCTCCAAGCACCCTGCACACGCCACACATGTGCATACACGACACTGTTCATTGATCGACCCCCATACGCACATACGTACGTACCCTTGCAGAGGCACTGGTGTCCGCACGGCACGAGTGCAATGTCATTCGGCTCCGCCAAACACACCACACACGTCGTGATGGTTTTGTCCTTTCCGCCGCCTTCGGCGTGCTTGGCCCGTTCCTCCTTTAGCTGTGCCTGCATGTCAGCGATCATCTTGGCGGCGGCCTCCTTCTCTTTGCGCAGCTGCTCGGCCGCCTCTCTGTCTTTTGCCTCCTTTGCTGCGGCGAGGCGGCCCTCCACATCTTTCTGGTAGGACTCGTCTCGCAGCTTCATCAGGTGCTCGTTGGACTGGTCCCTGAGCTGCTTCAGGCGATCCGACTCACTCTTGGCAGACTGCTGGAACTGCATGACGGCGGGAATTGACGTGAGGCCGTCAAGCTTCTCCTTGGTCAGCCTGAGGAGAACACACAGGCAGGTAGGCAGGCAGATAGACAGTGTTGATAAGTCTTCTCACCGATCTGCGTCGCGTTGCCTGAGGTCTTCGTTGTCGTCAATGAGGCCTTGCAGCCTGCTCCTGTATGCGGCCCTCTTGGCCTCGGCCTCGCTAACCGACACGATCAACCTGAAACAAACCAGACACGCATACAGAGACATACGTACGATTGTGCGTTCCATCTGTGAGTGTGTTCGGTGCCGTCTTACTCATGGATAACGGTGTGCACGTCCTCCATGTGTTCTTTAGCCATGGCGATTTTTGCAGCAATGTCGCACTCGGAACGGTCCAGCTCGTCCAGCCATACACGCTCTGTAGCAGCAGCAGCAGATGGCGGAGGGCTGCAGACATGCCATCACACATATGCAGACGTACGCAAGGGCCGCATGCCTTGTCTGCTGCCGCCCACCTGTCGCTCCTTGGGGGCATGGCGGGAGGGGGAATGGGAGTTGGGGCTCGGTCATCACTCGAAGGCGCGGTTGGCTGCCCTCCGCTGGCGGCCTGTGAGAGCTCCATCAGCCGCTGCGACACGTCTGAGGTCATGAGTTGGCGCAGCTCCGTGTCGCGCATGTCGATGGAGCCCTGGAACCGCCGCACATCGTCTGCTGTGGCCTTCAACGCAAGCTCATCCTCACTCAAACTGATATACACACAAAGGGCAGACAAGGAGAAATAATAGAAACACAGATTTAGGCGCACACGTGTTCCTGCCTGCCTGCCTGCCTGCCTGCCTACACGGGATTGGCCTCGCGCAGTCTGTCGTTTTCGTCCGTGAGCTGTGCCTCTTGTGCCTCCATCTGGCCGAGCAACTCCAGGACGTGACGCAGAGAAGCTTCCAAACTGACGAGCAACAACAGGGCAAGACACACAAAAGCGTCCTTCACATGGAAGAGCACGTTGGCTGTGCTGCGCACCCTGTCTTCTGCTCCTCTGCAGCGGCGATCTGCCCCTTGAGCTGATCCAATTCCTCAGCCGCCTCCTGGAGCGATGCAGCGATGGCCATCTCAGCCTCACGTTCCTCGTCGGTTCTGCACACACACAAAACACGACGACACACACTCGAGTTGATACCAGTGATACATACTCACAACCGTGTGGCGTGTGTCACCTGTGGTCTCTTTCCACTGTTGCTGCTGCTGGTGCTGCCGCTGCTTCCAGTGGTTCTCGATAGCGTGGCCCGCCCTCAAAGGACGACGGGATCTCCTCGAGACCGGCAGGCGGTGGAAGAGAGACCGAGGCTTCGAAAGATACTGCAGCAGTGGGGCTGTGGTCTTGGTCGTCGCTGGGTGGTGGTTCGCTTGCCGCCCCGTCCTCTTCCCCTTGCGCACTCCTGTCCGCTGTCGGCAGCCGGTCACCTTCAGACAGGTCTGCAGCCCTCTCGTTGCTTGGCTGAGGTGGACTTGCTGCGGGTGGCAGCAACTGCACAGATGACTGGAGCGTCTCGGTGTGGTGTGGTGCGGGTAGCGGATCTTCCCTCACCTCAACATCACCACTGCTTCATACCACAGACAGAGAGACACAGTCGAATAATCTGTGGATGTTGTGAAGGCTGAATGACGTCTGACCTGTCGACAGGGGTGGTGGTAGCATATGACTCGACGGCCGATCCCTCGTGACGCCTCACGACCATGCCCCTTTTCCCTTTCCTCCTGCGTCGCCTTGCCTGTCTCGTCATCGACAGCTCGCCAGCCTCGTGCTCGTGCTCGTGCCCGGGGAAGATCTCACATAGGTCCACATGTGAGCAGATGTCAACGCGTCGCCGTCTCACTCCTTCCAGCACTTCGATGAGGGCCTCCTCGCTCGCCGGATGCCCTGACTTCCGCAGCTGTCTGCTGTAGAACTCGACTGACATAAAGAAGCCATCGCTAAGATCCTCGGGGTCATTCGCATGACCCATGAACAAAGTGAGGCCTTCCCCCACTCCGAGCGGCCGACAGGCAAAGCCGACTCCGACGCACGACGATGGATCACTTGGCGGGTACCCCTCAACCAGCACACGAAATTCACGCAGCTGCTCCGCCATCTGAGGATAGAGCTCTCGGAACGACGCGTTTTCCGGCAAGTCCACGACCTCTCGACACGCATCAGCGAGAGCACGCGCCCGTGCAACCAGCCGCTCTCCCACGCCGCCGTCTTGCCATGCCTGGGGGCCCCTCCAGAAGCACACCGGCATGTCCACGACGATGAGTGGGCACCCCGATTCACGAAAGATGGTCAAGTCGGGTCCCACGCCATCTGCACACCTCCAGCCGAGACTCGCATGCCCGCAAACGATCCGAATGGGATGTCCAATGTGCAGACAGGCCAGCTCGAGCGCCTTGCACAGGCCCTGAGGCGTGAGAGACTCCGCCCATGAGGCTGACCCAGCCAGAAGGGCCCATGAGCCTTGCACAAAACCGACTGTGTCCACGGGCCCTTCTGGCTGAGACCGCTTTTTGCAGACACCCAGCTGCGCGAAACTGATGACAGCGCTTGTAGGCAGGTGGGATGCGGCCTTGACCGAAGCCACCAGCGCCTTGGCCGCCTTTATTGCCTCTTTGAGGAGCTGCTCCTCGATCGGCCGGGCGGTGTTGTCGCGTGGCTGCGGTGTCGGAAGCGGCGATGATGGGGGCACGACGAGAGCAGACGACGAGCGTGCCGCACTATCGGACTGGGGCAGATGACACTCTGAAGGCATACAAGAAAGCGTGGACTAAGTGATTGTACGCCCTTCGCCCACCTTCGTCAAGTCGGTGATCTTGAGATAGCTGAGTGTCAGTCTCAGCACCCTCTGGTACTCGGTCAGGTGCCTGAGCGGCATTTGACTCACAATTGCTCGCACGAGAGAGCTGCCGAAAGAAATAAATGGACACCAACCATGAAGATATGTGACGATGAATGAAGGGATGGTGATACGTACATGAGTATTGACGGGGCCGCCATCATGGCCACAGCAGCCGCAGTGGGCGGTTGTCGATGCTGGGTGGCTCGTTGATGCTGCTTCGTCACGATCTGCAGGCGTTGCTTCTGGTGTGTCTGCATTCGGCTTCCTTTGCGGAACGCGAGCCATACGTGTTACTCCGTCGCACCCATGAAATGGGACAACAGAAAAGCCTGCATGTCAGAGAGAGGAGCAACGACACCGATAAACCCTCCCCCTCTGCCTCTCTCCTCATTCGCGTGCACACACCTTGTTGTGATTCATCGCTGGGCAGACTGAAGTGCCCGGTGGCATCATGCCGTTTGCCTTCCAAATCCATGCAGAGAGGGTTGGCCCAGCCAGCCACCAGATTGCAAAACGAAAACACCGTCTTGTTCTCGATCAGCATGCCCCTTTCGAGCCCTTGGCAAAGCAACAGCTTCATCATCATGCTCATCGCCGTCGACACGTCGGGAAGAGCGATAGACGCACTCCACACAGAGGGACGGCTCATGTCGCCGAAGCGACATGCGGCTGCAGGACGATCCCGACGCGCTCACAGCCAGGCACGGACGAGGCCTCCGATATCGCCCTGAGGTGCCGCAAGGCGAAACAAGCTGTCGAAGGCACCTCCCTCGTGTATTGCAACTGAGTGCCGTTGAGCATTTTCAGCTGGTTGCGCTGTAAAAGGCTCGTACACCGAGACATTCCCTCGCAAATAAACCGGACTGACCACACACACACACACACACACACACAACGCATAGACGTCTGTCTGTCTGTCTGCATTTGTACAGCTGCTCGCTCTAGAGTGGACCCATCGGGCGCCGCAGCGGTCGGTGCAGAAGGAGACCGTCCCCTCTCTTGCACGCCTTGAAAGAAATTCGCCCCATCTGCATGGTAAGCAACTGTTGAGAAGTCTCTTCCTACTGTGCCGTGCAGCTTGCTTACCATGCACGCCGCGCATATATTGCTGCATCTTCTTAGGAATTTCTCGACCCAAAGACGTGCTCCGCTGCGCCGAGTTCGCCCACTCGGCCGACGACATCACACCATCGACAAAGCCCCTCCCTGCCGATATCGCCTCCTGAAGCTTCTCGTCTGTCAGATCGGTCGCCCACTGTGTGTGCTGAAAGCACTGAGCCTCGAAGACGAAGCCGATGACGTCCACACACACCCCATCGATAGACGCCTTCGTAGCCACACTGACTTGGACCGCGTCGCCCCTGCCCTGCCTCGCCAGTGCCTCCTTTTCTGACTTGGTAATCGCCTTGGCCCTGAGCAGCGCATGCTTGACCGCTGGCAAGGGCTGTTGCGAGTCGAGGGCGGCTGTACTTGCTGACTGTTCGATGATGGGTACAGAGAAGATAGGATCATCCGGAGTTGCGATTGGGAGCTGCTGTGGATGACTGTTGGTCTCATCGATGAACTCGAAGGTCAGGAAGCTCCCCTTTGGTATCGCCTCGTTGCTGAAGAGGCACACAGTAGGGGCAGTCGGGGCTGCAGTGGATGGACTTTGGAGAACAACCTGAAATACAATCAGCAGTCACTTGATAGAAGGTGGGTCAAGCTTCCTTACAACGCACCTTGGCTGTCAGGTTTGGTTTGTCTGACCGCGTAAGGAAGCGTGCTGCATTGCCGAAGTATGTGGTGTCAATAGCATGGCCGATTTCGCCGAGACTGACGCACGGGAAGACAGGCAGTCGCTTTTGCACACGCTGTTCGACTCGACCTCGTAGCTGAGAGGTGGCGATCAGCTCGCCAGCAAGCTGCATCACAAAGACGCCTGCCGGAATCACTTCCTAGACCACAAGATGGCACAAAAAGGGTTTGCTCACATGTATGACAGCCTTGTGCTCCTCACTTGAGCAATGAGCGAATATCGTTCATCATCTCCTCCCCTTTCCACAGCAACACGCCAATGTACTCCGGGAAGGAAATGTAAACTATTAGTACGCATACAAAACGACATGCACCCATACTCGCGGTGTGATTGTTTTGTTGCTCACTCAGCAGGGTACTGCTCCGTGTTTCCTGCCGTCGGCAGCTTCGTGAAGGCAATGGACTCCTTGGCGTATGTGAACGATATGTCCTGTTCGAAGAAGGGCCTGTGTCTGCATCCAAGGAGAGGAATCGCCATATCTTCTTGTCCCTGAGAGATTATGTAATCTCAATGAGCAAACCAGGCATTACACAGATATCAACAAGAAGCGAACCTGAGAGATGTCTTGATCGATATTCCAATCCACAAGCGGCTCCGAAAGCAGAAGCGACACGCTTGCAGGGGGCTATGTTGGTCGACGCCGTCCTCTGGTGGCTCCAAAGGAAGGTACGCATTGACAAGCTTGCCACGCATACTTGTGGGGATGGGCAGAATGCGAACGCTGTCATCCATGGCCAGATGGAGCTGGAACGGAAAATGCAGCTCCTGAAAGAAATACAAAACCAAGCGGATCCGTCTCTCATCCGATATGATCTCGTCTCATTCCCTCAGTCTCACTGGACGGGGATAGAAACGGTGCTCCATTTGCTGTCTCTCGCGCCACTCCCTGAGCCGCTCATGACTGCTCTCCAATAGGCAGTCAAAAAGGGCTTTGAAGCACAGAAAGCCACCACCAGAAGTTGACAGCTCGTGAAAACACCCATCGAGCGGCGATGCGACGACCACTCGATGCGGCCGTCCAGACGTGCATCGATGCTGCTCCTGGCTCTTGGCGAGATCCAGGACGAAGGGTGGTGATTCGGGTGATGGCATGCGGTCGTCATTGACTGCAGCAATATAACCATATTGTGTGGTATTGTTTTCTTGTGTGGGACGTGTGTGTCACCTGGAGGTCTCCAACCGGAATCGTTAGGCAAAAAAGACAGAACGAACTTCCAGCAGCCCTTGCCGGAATGGTCGGATGTCCTGAAGGCGTCCTCAACGCAATAGTGACCATCATATCGAAAGCCATACCTGCAATACGAAGAGAAGAGACAAGCACTCGCATTTGATGCTTCTGTTGCTCATGTATTCCCTATTGCTCTCTCACCTCGGTGCAACCTCTGAGCGCGTCTCGAAGCATCGGATGACCCTCACGTGCATGCCGCTCACGAACGAATGCAGCATAGGTTGAGCATGTACATCCCTGCCGTCTGCATCGTCCCTCACTGCATAAAGGATGCGGTCTCCCTTGTCGTCGTGACCATCATCATTGACCAAGACACACGTGCATATCTTGATCATGGTGTCGCCGAAACGAACACTGACGACTCCATCCTCTTTGTTGGTAACGCCCGTCAGCCGGAAAATGTGTGGGAATGAGAAGATGGTGCCGGGGGCAACACCCACTGTATGGTAAGGGGCGGGCTTCACGCGAGGCATGAGAGGGTCCAGCCACTGTGCGATCTTCTCCTCAACGCTGTCTGCAGCTGCCTCCACTGAGCTGAGGTCGCTGAGGTCAGGGCAGCTCGCCAGCTCTCGCATAAACTTGCTCTCGATGAATGGCACTCTTGCCTCTTTGGAGAGAAGCATGTAGCGGTCGAACTCCTCACCCATCAGCACTGAGCCTGCATGGAACAGCAAAGCTGAAGATCTGTAACAAGTCGTCGATTCCCTTCCCTACCTGAATCTGAATCGATGTCCGTCTCCTCGAGAGGGAGATCAGGTCGAGTGGCCTCATCAGCATGATCATTGGTTCTCTCGCAGTCATCCACGGTGTCGTTTGCTTCACATAAAGGGCCCGGCTGAGAGGCGGACGGCCTTCTTGAATCAGCCCCATCGCGTGCAGCTCCTGACTGATCCTCACGTGACTCATCGCGTGCACCTGCGAGCTTTTTTTTGCATTTACGCTCGTACAGAAGATCCGTTGATCCCGGATTCTTTCCCCCGGATTCGCTCTTCAAGTTTCGTGTCATATCACGACCATGATGAAGCTATCTGCTGTCTGCCTGCTGTGTGTGGCGGCCCTCGTGTCCGCTGCTGCCGAGTCGCATCCCTTGTCGGTCGTTGAGGGTTCACACCACTTTCTGGAGATGAAGAGGGACCTGCAGGACCGTGTGCCCATGCCCATGCCCATGCCGAAACCTCAGCCTGAAGATGACGGCAAGGAGGTACGCAGGACAGAAAGGAGGGCCAGCAAACTGCTGTTGTGTCGCGGGATGGGACCACTGTGTGTGTGTGTGTTTGTGTCAGATGAAGAGGGACCTGCAGGACCGTGTGCCGATGCCCGTGCCGAGGCCTGAGCCTGAAGATGACGGCAAGGAGGTAGGCGGAGGGAGCCAGCAAACTGCTGCTGTGTCGGCCGAATGAGACCACTCTCTGTGTGTGTGTGTGTGTGTGCCTGCGTGTGGCAGAGTGGCGGTCCCGCCCGTGCGCTCCAGGAGCCTGACAACAAGCCCCTGCCGGAGCCCAAGCCCAAGCCCGTCGAGGCAGCCCCCGAGGGCGTCTTCCAGCCCATGCCCGTTCCCATTCCCGACGTGAGAGAGTGATGACACGCACAGAGAGCCACGCTGTCACTTGACCTCTGCCTTGTGTGTGATATGATCAGGGCCGCCTTCGCGGGCTGAAAAAGCTCAAGGAGGCCGGTGAGCCCAGAGAGGACCACATACACATTTTGTGCTCATTCCATTCGTCTCTGTATGTGTTTTCAGATGTCCCTCGCCAGGATGAGGATGATCCCATGCCCAAGCCCTGCCCCGGCTGCTAGTCAAGACGGGTAGGGGGATGCACACGTAATGGGACAAGAGGGTTTGTTGCTTGTGGATAGATCGGTAGCCTGGCCGTCAATGTTTGTGGGATGGCAGGGCCATGCCTGGCTTGGCTCTCACCCTTCTTTGTCTGTCGGCATGACATGTGTGGATAACCACGTTGGGTTGCATCGGTGTGATGCGTGTTGCTCAACTGGCTGGGAGCTTTGCATCTTCTCAGCCTAATTAGTCAGTCAGCCACACACGAGAGGGAGGAGATGTCCAGTCCACAGGCACGTCAGGGCAGGGCAGCACATGTCGATCGGCATTATTTATCTTTACTTAGTGTGGCTCCATTCCATTTATACGAATATGTACATGCAGTGCAGTACATGGCTCTGTGTCTCTAGTTGCGTGTCCGCCTGCCTCCCTGCCTCCCTCCCTGCCTGTCTTGTGTGATACAAATGGCATCGCCTGTGTACATGTGTGTGTACGTGTGCATAAGCAAACCTGCACGTGTACCGTCGCTGCCCTGCGAGTTGTGTGTGGGTGTGTGTGCTGCTGGCGTGCCTGGGGAATGGGTGGATGGGGGCGTTTCCGTCGATATGGACTGACTTGTTTTTAAGTCGAGGTGACATCTGTAAGGTGGGTGGTATTTGATGAGAGCGGAGCGGCAACATCGTAGCCAATGGGCTATTTCTGTGCGTGGTATCCAACCCAGTTAGCCTGCCCCCCTCGTTTCGTTGTCGATAACCATGGATACCAATCTAGATGCCCCATGTCTACGGATGCGCATGAGGGCAACGGGGGAAGCGAAAAGCACATGATGTGCATCTTCGGTACGTACACCGTGTCGTCGGCTGGGTGTTTCCCCCAGCGACTGACTGACAAAGTCGCTGGGGGGTGGCGGAATGAATTTTCGTGAACTTTTGGTCAAGTGGAAAAGGGACATGTAGATAGCCGTCCGTCCATGTGCAGGTCTGTATGCTCGTCTCATGTGTGCGTGTTGTTTATAGTGAATGAATGCGAGACTTTCTTATTTGCATCAAAGGACTTGTTTGCAGATTCAGCAGTGGGCATCGGCACGAACCATTGAGTGACAAGTATCGATGACATCGAGTCAGGTCGGACACGAATGTGCATGAGCTTCACTGTCAAACCACCACATCGCCCACACCCCGATCATTCAAACCGTCCATCTGCCAGCCCTTCTCACCCGGGGCACCCCCACATCTACATTCGTAGCTGGGGCTGCGTGTGGCCACACACAGAGAGGGAAGGCACGAAAAACCCCACGCACACGCACCAGATCGACCAGCTAGCCTGCCTCTATCTGTATGAAGTGACAATGTCCTTCAAGTTGTCGACAGTGATGGTCTTGGGTTTGGCCTCGGCCCATATGCGCGGCTCCGACACGCGCAGCCTCTCCGCGGCCGTCTCGGTGTCGTGTGTGGACGCCTCCCACGCTATCGCCTCGCCCACCTGCCGCATCTCGGTCCAGACCTTCTTGGCGTCGCCCACCTGGATCTGAGGCACCACACTGCACTCACACACACACGCACACACACACACACACACAGACGAGGGATGGGTGAGGGATGATGGGTGTCGCTGCCTGGCCTGCTTACTCACGTGGTGAGTTTGTTGAGGAAGGCGTCTTCGGTGTATGTCTCGTCGTCATACACGATCATCATGGAGTCGGCGAAGCTCTTGTCGCGGCCATCACCTCCCGTTGTGCCCACCTCGGGAGTCAACTCCTCCTGCACACAACACACACACACACACACCCACACCCAGCACGATGCTTGCTGCTTGCAGGCAGCTCTTTCCTCTCCCTGCTCATTGTGTGGCGCAGCGCACCTCCTTGACTTCTTCTTTTCGCTCCTGCTGTTTGAAGGACGTCTGCATCTCCTTGAACTTGGTGGGGAGCTTCGTCTTCTGCCGCCCAATGGCCGCCCCGCCGCCTATCGACATGGATGGCTGGGATGTCTGCACGCACATGGGGAACAGAAATATACATGTACCACCTACCCATGTGTAAACGGCGTGCGTGTATGCTGCGGTGTGGTACTTACCATCTCCCATTTGAGGTAGAGTGTGGTGGCGAGCTCGGGCTCCTCCACCTTCTCGCCTCGCTTGATGGCTGGATCAATGTTGATCAGACAGACAGACAGACAGACAGAGAGACAGACAGAGGGTCAGCCACACATTTTGCCGTTCCTTCCCTCCCTCCCCATCACACCCCATCGATGCATGCCCACTGATTGCTTACCGATTTCTTCCTGTATTCGTTTGAGGTTCTCCTTGGCCCTCTCGTTCTGCTGGCTGACGACCACCTGCTTCCTCTGGCGCTTGGTCATCATCTTCCACTGCGACAGCTCCTCATAACGAGACAAGTCTGCACACACAGACATGGGCGAAGATGTGGGTGGTTGCATGCTCATTCATTGTGTGGGTACGCGTCACGCTCACACGCACCTCTTGGTGGTGGGGGCTGTGCGCCCTCCTGCATCCACTCGTCATACATTTCCTGGATGCGGCCGATCAGTGCCGTCCGCCGGTAGGGCGCCTCAAACAGCGACTCTGCCATTCATGACACACACCCACACGCAGATGGACGAGGGAAGATGCTTCATCGCCTCTCTAATGCCCTCCTGTTTCTTGGCTTACCGATGTTGTCTCGTGTTGGCCTCTCGTAGCTCGGGTCGGTGCTCATGAGCAGTGCCTCGTACATGGCCTCGTCAGCCGACAAAGGACGCTCAGCTATGCTAAACGCCTGAATGAGCCAACCACACACATACACGGAGGAACGTAGGCATGTGGCCGCCCTCTTGCAATCGATGATACGCCGCGAATGAGAGTACCTCTCTGTTTGGGACAGTGTCAGGCTGGTCGATCCCTTCGTATATGGCCTGTGGGATGGTCGGCAGGTCGTCGAGGATCCTGTAACGCTCCCACATTGACGGATCCCGAAACTCATCCAACTACACACACAACACACACAACACACACAATATGAGCGCATGCACGGTCTCTTTTGCACCCTCCCGCCGCCTGCTCACCGTGCCGCCGACTTGCTGCCTATCCAGCGCCATCGTCCGGATTTGTTTAAACTTCTGGTGGGCGATGCGCTCGAGCTTGTCGGCCTGCTTCTCCTCCCACACCTGATCGATCACGTCGTATCGGTACGACGGCTGCAGCTCATCTGCCTCCCCCTTGCTGCTCAAGGCCATCCGCAGCCGACGCGCCACCGCAGCTGACTCGAGGCAGTCCTGCTCCTCGGCGATGGACTCGATCTTGCCGATCAGACTCTCAACCTCACTATCGCCCGCCAGGCGTTCAAGGGCTGACGAGCTGCCCTTGGGGTCACGCAAGGCAGCCAAAAGCTCTTGCATCTTAGCTGCGTGGTCAGCACATACACAGGGATGGGCAGTGGAAGAGTGGTCGAGTCTCTGGGTGCCTGTGGGTCTGTACCGTCGTTGAGTATGTCCATTGTGTCGTCGACGGGCAGGACAGTGTACTCTGGCGGCGCATCATAGTACAGCTGGGGGGAGGGGTGGTACCAGGTGGGCGTCCTGTTGATGTCAGACGGCGCCTTCTGAAACACACACACACACGACCACACTCAGAAAGATGCGGCCGATGATCCGATGATGCATCATCTCCCACTGATCTACATGCATCTGCATGTGCTGCGCTGCCTGCTTGCCCCACCCACCTTCCTTGGTCTGAATTTGTTCTGCTTCTTGGCGCCCTTGAGCTGCACTCGTGACGACATCATGACTGTCGATGGAGGGCGGCCGGCATCTGCCCTCCTCCTCAGCGCAAGCGAGCGATCAAGGGCAAGACGGGTTGGGGAAAGCAGAAAGGCCGCCGAAGGCGCGACGAATGACGCGAGCGTCACCAGCGCCGCCGCCATCGCCTGGATGGGCATCTTCTCACAGATGGAGAGGGGCGGACGCCGCAGCGCTGTCACAGCCCGTCTGTGCTTCTGTTTTACCTCTTCTTTTCCTTTGGTCTGCTTGGCTTAGCTCGCAGATTAGCTCGCAAATTGTAAACTCAAATTCTGTGAATCAATTGATTGCAAGAAGACCAACAGATGGAGGAAGCGCCGGTTCATTTGGATGCGTCGGGTGTGCTGCGAGAGGTGGACGAGCTGCACGCCTCGTTCATCGCCGCCCGACGTCGGTGTGACGAGCTGCAGAAGCAGATCCGGGAGGGAGATGGGCGCCACAAAGATCTGCTCGCCATCATACAAGACAAAGACAAAGGCACGCCATTGACACACACACCACCGACACACTGCAGTGGCTGCTGATTCACACCTCTCTTTTTCTCTCTCTCTGTGCGTGTGTGGATGTCAGAGCTGGGTGTGTTGTGTTCGTTGGCTGGTCGGGCGGATGCCGTGGAGGCGCACGAGAAGAGCTTCATCGAGACATCAGCGGCCCTCCACGATCAGCTCACTCAGAGGGACCGACAGATGGCCAACCTCAACAAACAACACGATGCACAAATCAATGCACTCCAGCAGCAACACAACAAGAAGGTCACACACACACACACACACACACACACAGACAGAGAGAGAGAGACACAGGGCAGATGCAGCCATTGACCTCCCTCCTTCTCTCTCTCTGTCCGTGTAGGTGAGTGAGTTGTCTGACGAGCTGATGCGTGTGCGTGAGGCTGAGTCCACACTCGCGGCGCAGCTCACCCACACCAAACAGCAACTCAACCACACACACCACAAGTAAATGAGTGTCGCGTGTGTGTCGTGTTTGTATGAGAGCAGCACAGCACAATGTGTGTGTGTGCAGGTATGAGTCGGTGTGTGTGGAGGTGTCTCGCTGCCGTGACGCCATCAAGCAGAGAGACGCCGACATGCGAGCACGCGAGCAGCAACACGCACAGCAGCTGCAGGCAAGTCGCTCAGACACACAGAACACAGGCACACAGGCAGGCAGGCAGCCATCGATGGATGGAAGGATGGATCACGTGTGTGTGCGTGAATCAGGATCGTGATCGTGTGCATGCCGAGCAGCGTGATCAGTACGAAAAGTCGCTGCTCGACATGTCGGCCAAAATGACCTCTTGGTAGACATACACACACACACACACAGGGAGAGGCAGATCGACAGGCAGCAGTGGCTGTGTTTGTGTTGTGTGTGCAGCAACTCTGATGTCATCAAGAAGCGATGCAATGCCCTCAAGGCACACCACACCCAACACACGCATAGACCGACCAGCGCATGAATGCTTGTGTGTGCACGTGTCATGTGTCCATCAGGTTGAGTTGGACGACAGGAAACGCAGATTGGATGTGGCCGAGACGGACAATGAGCGACTCAAGAAGCGGTCAGGATGGAGAAAGCAAATGGATGGATGGATGGATGGAGAAATGTGTGTGTGAGTACACGGTATGCAGTTTGAAGGATTTGGAGGGCCTGTGCCGTACGAAGGGCATCAACATGCTCAACACAGCCGGCTTCGGGGGACGGTGATGCCAGAGTGTGATGTGTACGGACAGACAAAACACAACGCGCACTTTGCGTGACAGCCAGACAGATCTATACCAACACGCTCACCACACACACAGGCGGCGGCGGGGGACGGTGATGCCAGAGTGTGATATGTACTGTATGGACACACACACAACGCACACAGTAACACAGACACGCGAGACAGCGAGACAGACACACGAGTAATGTTCATCCATGGACGGACAGACGGACAGTGTTGAAATCGCAACGTGTCTGTGAATGGGTGAATGAGTGACAGAGACCTCTTCTACTTGAGGCTTCAGGATGCATTCAGTGAACAATCGTCCACCACAAAGCCCTCCACAAAATACACGCCTTCATGGGCCAGACAGCACAGCACCACATAGCGAAGCCCTTACGACACGCCCGCCTCGCTAATGCATTGGGGCTCCAGCAGTGGCGTTGCCGTGCGTGGTGTTGAATTCCATGCCGGGCGCGGCCAAGGAGTTTTCGCCGAGGCAGTTGGTGACGTTGTAGACCTTCTCGTTGGCCTCTCTGAGGGTGGTGCCGTTCTCAGCCTCGCACGTCATGCTCTGGAACTTGTACCCGCCTGCTCGCACGGAGGAAGGGGCCAAGTAAGGGAACGAGAAGCTTTCTTTGCTTAACAATCGTGTCATTTTACCTTGGTCTGGGCCGCAGCACAGCCCTCCACAGTCCTCGGTTTTCTTGCACGAGTGCAGGCTGCCGTCGTCATGCTTGAAGCAGCGGTACTTTAACCTGCCGGTGACTCCAGGCGCATCAGTCATCATGCAGTAGCACGCCCCTGAACACATGGCACACCGCAGCCAACCAAGAGGGAGAGAGCGCTCTTCTGTTGTCCCTCTGCCTCACTTGGCCCCTTCCATGCGTGTGTCTCGTTTGTGGCATTTGCCCCTCTGCCAGCTGGTGTGTCGTCGTGTGGCTGGATGTAGCGGGCTGACACCTCCCCAAAGCTGGGGGCTATCGAGTTGAGGGCCGCACCCTCCTTCGCCTGCGCCTCCTGGCTCACGTCGGGGCGCATGTGCACAGGCTTGAACAGATGCTTAAAGACACCAATGCTGTGCTCATAAGCTGAGAAACCCACACACATACAGATACATGAACGCATAGATATTGTCGGATTGTGCATGTGCGTGGCCGCTGTCAATGAAGCTCTCAGTCTCCTTGATTGGCTGGAGGAAGCCGGTGCCGAGAACGCCCCGTCTCGGCTTCTGGATCTTGGGGACAGGAGATGTCTCGTTGGAGTCGGTGGCCGCTGTCTCATTCAAAGCTGCTGTGGAGGCAACGGGGCCTTTCAGCTGCATGAAATCATCAAGAAGAGAGAACACCCGCCATTTGCCTGCTCTTCCTCCTGCGCACCATTGTCTTGAGGGCTCGTTGGTTCTCAGGTTGCTTCAGAGAGGAGAGAGCAGTGCTGATTCCACCAAATGGTGTGATGCGGGCTTCGGATGGGCGGCGGTCGTCCTCTATGTAGCCCTCCTTAGTGCCGACGGGCAAGGCATCGCGAGGCTCGGGAACCTTGTCCGATATCTTGCTGTCATCATCATAATCGGTGGACTTGGCGGCGACATCATCACCTTCAGAGGTGCTGTCAGCTGCGGTAGTGTTTGCAGTGTCGGCACTCTCGGCCAGCCCTGCAGCAGTGTCGTTCAGGGCCTCGTCAGCTGCCGCACTGGGGCCCTGCATGATTGGACACACACAGGCACAGACACGCACACACACCGGGAAATGGGGACCATTGCAAAACAATCTGTGAGCTGTGCACCTCCTTCGGCTGAAGCACAACTGCGTGTGAACGCCCCGCGCGTGCCACGCGGAATGCAGCGGAGGCCAATGTCGCCAGGAGGACGATGAGGCGCATGGAGAAGGGCACCTTCATCTGCCGATGACGGACGGAGAGAATACGGCTCGTTAGATTTCGAGGAAAGGGGCAGAGGGGAGAGGTGGGGGCAAAAAGGTCGCGGGGCCAGGGTAAATTTTTTTGGGAAGAGATAATTGACAGATGGCATCCATGCACTCGCTTGTCCAAATCGCCTCCATGAATCTATCCACATATGCCTATGCACAAAGGGCACGCTCACTCATCCGATGAGAACACCCCAGCCCCGTCCATCGCCCCAACACCACGCCATGACTGCCTCCCGCCCCTCAAACACAGGCTAGCAGCCCGCACCAATGCAACGGACAAACGAGCACGCAGCCACCCATGCACCCGCCCTCGCCCCCTATCTGACCACCCCTGCCTCGTCAACAGCTGCTCAGTCAAGCGGGTGAAGAAGTGCTCCGCCTCCCTCCCCCACACCCCATCGACGGTGACGACCAGAGGGGTGAAGGTCATGGACCAGGCCAGGGTAAATTTCGTCGTTCTGACATGCGATCTGGACAGTGATTCTTGAGAGTCGCATGTATGTATGACATACAGGGGTAACGACGATGGCAGCGGCTTCCCACTCACTCAGATGCTACATCCTCCAATACTCGTCCTGCCTGTCCATATCTCTGTCTGTCAGTGTGTCTGTGCGTGTGCTATGCTACAAGCCCGTCTGTGTGCAAGACGCAAAGAGACATAGCAAACGCCGCACAGCGGAAGAGAAACAGACAGACAGACAGACAGACGAGGAAACTGACTGACAGTGAGGAATGCATACATTTGTGCGACAAATCACTTTCCTGCTGATGAGCATGACTGTCTGCATGAAAGTCCAGTCGTGCACACATACACACACATCAACGAACAGTAGAGCAGTGCTGTGTGTTTGGATGTGTGGATGTACACCACACACACACACACACTCACACACATACACATACACACAGAGCACTCGCCCGCTTCCCACACACCGACGCATGACAGCCGCCGCGTACACTGATCGCTCCCCAACAGCGCGTAACCACCAAAATGACTTCCCGCACGGCTAGCTGCTCAACTGACTAGAACAACCCAGTGAAGACCTCTTCTCTGCCTCCACGGTCACCAGCAGCTCAGCAGGGCCACTAGCAGTGGTCGGGCAACCATGCCTGCCTGCCTGCTGTCTGGCTGCGGGCTCTTGTGTTCCTGTGATTTGCATGCATCACCCCATTGTAAGTATACACTTCAGACGCGAATGTGCATATCACATCCAGCCCTCACCCAGCGAAAGACCCCAAAACACACACCGCCAGCCCCAATCCCCATCCACCGCACCAGATATCGCGACCCCTTACGCGCACAAACACTGTGAAGTGAAGCAACGCGTCGAGCTCGCCGCCTTGTTGGAGTTTGACTCACTTTCGACTCACTGAGGCGGCGGGGCGCCTCTGCTGGCCGGCCGCCTCTGGCCCTTGATCCGCGCTTCAACTTATCGCAACCCCAGCCTCTCCTTGAAGCGACAGCACACAGCACACTTGAAGCAATCCGGGCAGACGAGTTGGATGAAGTAGACGAGGACGCCCCCGCCGACAGCGCAGAGCAGGAGGCCGCCAAACTTGAAAACAGACGCAGACTCCTCACGAAACACGAAGCGGAGTCCGCACATGTACAGCAGCACGAAGAACAACAGGTACATAATGGCCCGACATCGCCTGCACAGAGTGTCAAACTCGGCGTCATAGGTCGCGTCGTCCTGATCAATCAACATGCAGTCAATGCTCCAGTCGGTTTGGGCATACGCGTCGCAGAACCCGTCCTCGTTCTCCTGGGCCACCCCCTTCTCCTCCCTGAAACACAACAAATCAGGGACACACCACCACACTGTCGCTGATCCCATCCCACGTGCCCACGTGTGCTGCGGACCTACCTCAGACGCTGCCACTCCGCAATGATCATGGCGCTGCGCTGCTCTTCGGCGTGCATCGTCACCCGACCTTCGGACCGCAGCTGACTATCCTCGTCCTTGAAGTTGCCTTGGAGATCCATACTCGTGCGGACGCGGGACCTCAACCAAGTGGAGGGTTGAGGGTCAGGGTCCGAACCCTGCAGCCCCAACCCTAACAACGTTTCCCTGCAGCCCCTCGGCAGGATGGACAGCGAAGAGGAGGACGCGATTGCGTGCGATTCCAGCTACAGCAAGTGAGTGAGCCGAAGCAGATCTGCACCCACCCCGCAGTCAGTGCATTGATCCGTCCGTTGGTGGTTCGGTTCATTCATTCAGCATCCCCCCTCCCCTTGTGCCCGCTGTCCTGTGCAGGGAGGACTGGCTGCAACGACTCAAAAGCGTCGAACTGTACGAGAGGTAAGCACCAGTGACACAACAGTACGCAGTGCCATCGATGGTGGGTGCTGTGTTGTTTGAGCGTGTGTGTGTGTGTGTGTGTGTTGGCTGTGTGTGCCAGCGACATCCATGAGGTGATTCTCAACTTCTTCACCGTGCATGGCTTCCAGGATGCGGCAGAGGAACTCATGAAGGAGGCGCAGCTCAGAAGTCAGTACTCAAGCAGACAGACAGACAGACACATCCATGGTGTGGTGGCTGGCCATTTGTGGGTGCCTGCGGTGTTTGCAGCTGAGATGCCGATGACGTCGATAGGACGGCGGCAGGAGATCCGGCAGGCGCTGCTGCGGGGCGACATACCCACCGTCATGAGCACCCTCGATGACCTGGACAGAGAGGTAGGCTGCCGCACGGAATGAATGAATAGGGGTCATGGATGCATCGAGATCGAAGCCCGATCCATGACCCCAGATACTCCGCCGCAACCCCGAGGTCCGCTTCCAGTTGAAGCAGCTGCAGCTCTTCAAAATCATACAAGATGTACGTACACTGACAAAACAGCAACTCACAATCAGCACCGAGGGGAGATTACGGCCATGATGCGCACCATGACTCTGTCTCTGTGTGTGTGTGTGTGTGTGTGTGTGCAGGGCAACACGTTGGAGGCGATAGACTTCGCGCAGACACACCTCGCCCCCGAAGTCACAGAACACGTAAGTAGCCCCAATCAGTCAGGACCGCCTTGCTGTGCTGATGGTGCCAGTGCCTGCCTACCTTGTGTTGTGTGTGGGGTTCATCAGCCCCAACTGTTGCCCCGCCTAGAGGAAACCATGGCCCTCCTTGCCTTCGGAGACCTTAAGGCAACAGAGAGGGAGGGAGAGGCGACAAGACAGACAGATGCGCTTCGCTTCCTTTTCTGTGTGTCGTATACAGAGTCCCGAGGCGCAGAGGTTGGCTGAGGGGTTGATGGAGAGGGAGGAGGCGGCGCGGGCCGTCGATGACGCCATACTCGAATTCTACTCCATACACCAAGGCAAGCAACCACTCTGCCAGCCATGTCTGGGGAGGGCATGTCCGTCTGAGTATGTGTGTGTGTGTGTGTGTGTGTACAGAGTCGACGCTGGAGAGTCTGCTGAAGAACTGCAAGTGGACGCAGCGTCAGCTGACGGAGGGCAAGGGGTGCGTGTTCCCCACACTGGTCGACGCCGCCGAGTGCCGGTTCGAGCCAAGCTCAGACTCAGACGCAAGCCCTGACAGAGACAGGGGGGCGGCAGACGCGGTGAACAGAGCATAGCATACACGCGGTGGCCACGCACTCAAGTGGTCACATATATATGTTTTCTTATTGCGCGCCGTATGTGCTGTGTTTGGGTGTTGTGTGCGCTTCAGCTCTTCCAGCCATAGCTATGCGAAGGCGGGCATCTCCTCTGCCTGTGTCGGGGGGTGGGTGGATCCGGTCTGATTCGTGTAGTGTATCCTATCAATCAAGGATGAAGGCTGTCGAGCTGTTGGTGGGGTCGGCCGGTTGTTGCTGCTGTAGAGTCTAGCTTTTTGTGTACGGTGCGGTGCTGATGTGGGCATGTATCACTTCTGGATGGGAGGGATGGTGCAAACAAAGGAGTGAGTGACCGAGGCCTCCCCTTTTTATGTGTGGGGATCCGGTCATCCAGCATTAATTGTGGGCGGACACTGTCTGAGGCAATCACACCAACCGTCGTTCCGAAGCCCACACCCCCACCAGCACACTCATCGCTTCACTTTGTTGTGCATCCCACCCACGTGCCTCTGCAGTCGGTCAGTGATAACGATGCATCCACCCACCCACCCACACACACACATCCATCCATCCATCTGCATGCCTTGCCTGTCCCTCCCTTAGTCTTCCCCCCTGATCATGAAGGCGCCAAAACTGCACACACAGTGTCTGTCGATCAGCCTGTCTGTCTGTCTGTCCGCAGTCGCGGATCAATAGGTCGATAAACTGCTGCCTCCCAGTCCTTCAGCACGGGCAGCCTGCTTCAATCCAATTATACAAATGATGGATAGATACCTCAAGCAGAGCCGGGATGCTGTCTGTGTCCACAAACGGGTCGGCGGGCGGGCTTCTCGTCATCTGTACTCGTCCTGCTTGGGCAGCGGGAAGTCGACGAAGTCCCCTGCATACCATCACGCGAGTCACACATACACAACACGCACTCAGTGTGTGCGCGTGTGGGTTTGGTGCGTGTCTACCATTCTCGAAGATGCACCTTCGTGGCGAGAAGCCCACCAGAATCCCACGGTCCTGCAGCCACCAGTACCCCAGGCCAACAAAAAAGGCAGATTCGCATTGAAAAGACGTTCTCGCATCTCTCTCTCCCTCGCTCCCTGCCTGTGTGCCTGCCTGTGTGTGTGGCATATATCCGTGGGTACCAGCAGGACGAGTTGGTTGAGTCTCTTGGCCGCCCTGTAGGCCTTTTCAAAGCTCTGGAACCGCAGCACGAGCATCCCGTGGTTGTGCCACTCGAGGTTGTTGAGCTGGTAGCGCGTCCGCAGGCACGACGCCGCGTCCTGCTCCTCCGCACGAATGGGAAACGACTCGCGCCAAAACGGACTCTGACGTCAGTCAGTCACACACAAAGGAGACTTGCCGATCGATCCCCTGTTCCTTCTCACTCACGCACGCACCTCATATTTGTGTGTGGATCGTGGGTAGAAGCTCTCGGGGTCGTCAGGGACGCCCCGCGGGGAAACAGCAGGCACCAACGGGACGCCCAGAGACAGTGATGACGACACACTTGAGGTGGCGTCGTGGACGGCCACCCCATTCTCGCGCATCACCTCTGCCCAGCCGTCTGCAGCCCGTCTGGCGGTGTCCTCCCTGGCCTTGAGCTTCGCCGCCAGCTGCTGCACGGCGGCAGGGAGGGGCGGCGCCGACCACTGAAATGGGGGGAGAGGGGGAGGGTGAGGGACGGCAGGAGACTGAGAGTCACCGATAGCAGCGGCAGCAGGGGGCGGTTGTGCTGGTTGGGGATCGTGACGGTCTCCTTGTGTGTCTGCCGTCGGCCGGTCTTCGGCAGCAGCCGGTGACGATGAGTGGATGGGCTCCTCAGTAGGGAGGTCCTCATCTGTGCCGAAGATGCTCGACATGCCGTGGGGGACCGCCGGCAGCGACCCTTCCATTCCACCTCCACCCATGCACATCATCTGCTGATGCTGATGCTGGTGCTGGTGGTGGGTGGTCTCTGTCTCGAGCACATAGGCGAAGTCCTCCTCGACCTCCACTGGCTGGTGCTCGTCGTGTTCCTCGTCGTGGCCGTGGCCACCGTTGAGACCCTTGCGGCCATCCACAGGCTGAGCTGGGAGGCCGTTGAGAGCCAATGGTGCAGAGCGAAGGGGGGACCCAGAGCGTGGGTTGCCGACTGTGGGTGGTGACGATGGAGGTGCCGTCTCTGCTGCGGTTGCTCCGGTCCTCTTCTTTTTGTTTGTGTGGTCGTGAGGTGAGCCAGCCCCAGCGGCGGTGGCGTCGTCGAGTGCCTCGCACTGGATCGACAGCACACGGCCCGACTGAGCCTCAACCTGATGATAGATAGACACACACACATCCATCCATCCATGCATCCATCCATCCCATGCTGCAACTTGCTGCCCTGGCTGACCTTGAGTTTGTTGTAGTTCCATATCTTCGGGTTGGTCATCTCCAGGAGCACCCTCGACGACACGGGCGACGAGGGGGTGAGCGTGGCCGGCTGGCCGTCGGCATCCACCTGCTTGTCCTGCTGCTGGTTCCTGGAAATGGCGGCCACGTGCGACACAGCGCGGGACTCAACCGTCAGCGCACGGCTGAAGATCTCAAGCAAATCTGACACGCGCACCATGACACACACACACGGATCCATGGTCGGTCAACAGGCAAGCTGTGCGTGTGGGCAACTGATAGGTAGCTAGTTACCTACCTTCGTGTCTGAATTGGTATGGTACGTTGGTGACGATGAGTGTCTTGCGCTGCTCGGCCGGCTCGGGGTACACCAGACGCCAGACGTTGGTGCGAGACCTCTCACTCTGGCATCCATCAAGGAAAGGAAAGGCAGGGCACACAAGCACCAGCAGTGAGCTGCACAGACGTGCTGGCTGATGCTCTGTGAAAGGTGGGTGTGGCCTGGCCCTTGCTGCCTCCCTGCCTCACCCCGCAGAGGACGCCGAACGTCCGGAGTGCGCTGCGTGTGGCCCGCTCCTTCTGATGCTTCTCGGCAAACTCTGATGGATGGATGGGTGGGCTGACTTCAGTGTGTCAAGATGCATTCAGTGTTGTTTGTTCTTGCCAATGAGAGCGAATACGGGTGAGAATCTGGCCCTGATCTTCTCCTCACTCGCAGCGTCGCCCTTGATGGCCAAACTCCTCTGCACCCATACACACGTACCCACAGTATGACTGACTGGGTGCGCCACATCCTTTGACTGACAGCCCAGCCGACAGGTCTCACCTGCATTTCGGTGTCGATGGTCCTCAGCCGTTCGTTGAATATCTCGACCTTACACACACGACCACAGGGCCGAAAGGCCTGAAACAGAAAGCGGCAAACCAACAGTAGATCAGCGTTCGTGCTCGTGGCGCATCTGCACGTCTGCCCTCTGCCCTCTCGCCCAGCCTACCCTACCCACCCTCTGTATGTCCCGCGGCGTCACGTCCGCAGGAAGGTTTGTGACCAACACCTGATTGGTCAGTCAATTTGTGCGCACACACACACATTCACACATGCAGGTCAGGTCGCGTTGTGTGGATGGTTCTGTCTTTACATACCCTTTTCCTGCTTCTTGTTCCGTCGGGCTCCACCTCCGGGTGGTCCCACGTGACGGTCATGTCTGCGATCTTCTTATGCTTCATTGCCGTCGGTGGCGGTGGCCTGACACACAGAGGGAGGGAGGGAGGGAGGGAGGGAAACAGACGCAAGACAGAATCACAACCCCATCCAGTCAGCCATCCTCTTCGTCTGCGCGTCCCCCCAGTCACCTCTTAACGAGTCGCCTCGCCGCCAGAGGGTCGTTGTCGACCGCCGACCGACCTGCAGACGACAGCGTCGACGCAGCCGCCTGCGGTGCCCCCACCCGCCCCTTGGCGTCCTCGTGATCGGGTGGATCTTCGTCGTCCGCCTCGGAGTCTTCGTCGTCCGAGAAAAGGTCCGGGTCGTCGAGGTCGATGCCCGACCGGGAGGAGAGGGCGAACATGGAATAGTCGCTCAACACAGACTGGGGGAGGTTGTCGACGTCAGGCTCACGCTGATGTCAAATCAGTCAGTGACATGGCATGCGTGTGTGTGGATTCGTTGTATGGATGTGCTGATGTGTGCTAACGTATGGTGACGAGGCGTCGTCTTGGATGTCGGAGGAAGCCTCGAGGTGGTCGGGGCTGATGAAGTCCACGGCACGACGCAGGCGATCCAAGCATAGACCCTCATCCAAACCTGCATTGATCAACCAACCAATACACACACAACACACAGACGGACAGCGCATTCATTGCATTCTCTGTTCATTCCCCATCCACTGCACGGCTTTCTGTCTGGAGCACCCACCAGCCCCCCCACGCACCGGTGTCTTTGAAGATGCCCCTCTCCCGGACCTCCTTGACCAGGCGGCCCTTGCTGGCGTCGCTCCCCTGCGTCCGCTTGTAGTGCCTTATCTTGTCAATCAACACGTCCATCTTAGCCCGGGGCACCCGCCCCGCCAACTCGCTGCACAGCTTCGACGCCACCACGCACCCCGCCTCCCTGTCCACGTCGTCATCACGGTCAGCCGACTGCGAGGCAGCGAAGGGGAGATCGTGTGTGACCCACTGGTCGCTCGTGCGGTGGTGGCTGACGGCCACCTGCTGCTGCAGCTGCCGCGATGAGGGCCGCGAGTGTGGACGGCATGCTGATGCTGAGGCGGCACACACCACAGGCGCATTGGCCCATCTGAATGGCGGTGGGCAGGGGAGGGGGAGGGACGAGGCGGGGAGGTGAGCTGATCTGCTTGTGGCTGCCATGGCCACCCTCCGCCGCACGTGTTGCTCGATGAGTTCGAGGGACCGGGAGAGGCCCGAACGCGGCACCGCCAGCTCGTACTGATTCATGACTGATGCACGCGACACCGTCGTCGACCAAGTGCCAGATAAGTCATATGACAAGACTCTAAGACATGCGAGCTTGAAACTGCGAGTTCTGGTGGTGGTTAAGGGTAAGACTGTCCGTGTGTCCATGCGCTGTGACGGTCGATTACATTCGCATCTAAACTATTGAAAGCAACGATCAAAGCATTCGCTACCAATCATGGGAGCTTTGGGGACATGGAGAACGCTGCCTACATGCAATAAGCTTCGTCTGCGTCCATGGTGTCTGTCGTTCGACTGGTGACTGATGCATTGGCACACGTTGGCACGCCATGTAACGGATTAGCCCAGTAAGCTAAGCTGTGGTTATCCATCTGCGGGCCGCATCCACCTATTTCCTTTATACGCGACAACCACTCACCCACACAAATTCATACACCCATGGGGCGCACGTCATGCCACGTCATGTGGCTTCGCAGATATGAAACTGACTGTGATGAAAACAACAGCGACTCACGCACGAGCTGCTGGCGCCAATTAGTCCGCACATCTCAGATCGTTCCACCGGTCTGTCTCGCCTGCCTTAGTGCAAACACCCTAGTATACATACAAGGACACACACAGTGCAAAGAGCAGCTGTGACAATCACGGAAAAACCACGCACACAAACACTCACATCCACAACGAACAACATATAATTCTACACCTACTTATTGCCTGCCTGCACCCCGCGATGGACTAGTGTCCACATTTGCGCCTGCCCGCCTCAGGCATCATTAGCATCTCGTGTCACCTCGGTGGGTATGTCTGGTGGGCACACACACATACACACACACACTCATGCACACACACACACGCATCTGTCCGTCTGTCTGTCTGTCTGTCTGTCCGTCTCTGTGCGCAGCTCGTTACCTAAAGTCCTTACCTGGTTCTGACCACACCATACCCTCCACAGTGAATATGAAGGGGTCAGCCTCAGTCATACCCCTGCACTCAGACATGACGCACACACACACACACACACGCACTCTGAGGGTCCGAAAGTGTTCGTGTGCCGCCACGTGCACATACTTGTCCTCGCCGAACACATTTTTGATGAGTTCGTTGTCATTGGCGTGCACCTCGACCACCTGCTGGTTGTCGTCGAGGCGCATGAGCTTCACGTCATGTTCGCTGTTTTCGCTGTTGGGGAGCTCCCGACGGAAGGTGTCGAAGAGAAAACGCTTCACGTCAATGACGTGAAGTTTCTCGAAGTTGCCACCCGAGTTGTCGAGGCCGCCATCGGTATCCAGCACATCAAACAGGAAGGGGCCCGAACTGAGGCCGCCTCTGGTGCAGTGGAATTTGAAGTAGCGAAAATCCCCAATGCCAATACGCATGGGCTCTGATGGTCACACACACACGCGCACGCACGCACGCACGTGTATCCGTCGTCTGCAGACCATGCCTGTCTGTCTGTCTGTCCGTCTCTGTGCGCAGCTCGTTACCTGAAGTCCTTACGTGGTTCTGACCACACCATACCGTCCACAGTGAATACGAAGGGGTCAGTCTTAGTCATACCCCTGCACACAGACATGACGCACACACACACACACACGCACTCTGAGGGTCCGAAAGTGTTCGTGTGCCGCCGCGTGCACATACTTGTCCTCGCCGAACACATTTTTGATGAGGTCGTTGTCATTGGCGTGCACCTCGACCACCTGCTGGTTGTCGTCGAGGCGCATGAGCTTCACGTCAGCTACGCTCTTGAGCCGCGTCGGTAGGAAATTGTTGTAGAGGAAACGCTTCACGTCAATCACTGTCTCGAAGCTGCCACCGGGATGGACCACCCCAAGCAGGAGGGGGACCGAACTGAGGCCGCCTGTGGTGTAGTAGGACTGGAAGTAGCGAAAATCCGCCAAATCAATCGGCTCCATGGCCAGTTTCGGCGGGCCCGACATCTCTCTCTGGCAGTGCGGGGGAGAAGTTGGATCTTGGGTGCGCAACGTTCGGCACGAGAGGGACGACACACACTTTCGTAGGACGCTGGCGAGGCTGGTGAGGCTGTCAAACACACGACGGAAGATCATCCCACTCGCCGGGGCACACTGCAGCAGTGGTTCCAGGAAGCACACTGCGAGCTTGCGAGCTCGCCAAAATTAGCTCGCGGAAGGCAGCCCCCCCTGGCAGGCACTCCCTGTTCAAGGACTGCTACTTCAACAACCGCAACGTTGGGACAGTCGCGGAAAAACCACGCACACAAACACTCACATCCACAACAAACAACATATAATTCTACACCTACTTATTGCCTGCCTGCACCCTGATGGGCTAGTGTCCACATTTGCGCCTGTCCGCCTCAGGCATCATTAGCATCTCGTGTCCCACGGGTCGCATACGGCGGGTATTTCTGCTGGTCGCGCACACACACACACACACACGCGTATCTGTCCGTGTGTCTGTCTGCATACGCGTGTCTGTTTGTCTGTCTGCTTGACTGTCTGTTTGACTGTCTGTCTGTCTGTCTGTCCGTCTCTGTGCAGCTCGTTGCGTAAAGTCCTTACGTGGTTAGGTGGTGTTGGCAGTACGAGACCCTTCATAGTAGCCAGTATGAATGGGCTCTGATGGTCACATACACACGCACACGCACGGACGTGTTTCTGTCCGTCGTCTGTCTGCTACACGTCTCTGTCTGTCTGTCTGTTTGTCTGGCTGGCCTCTCTGTGCAGCTCGTTGCGTAAAGTCCTTACGTGGTTCTGGCAACACCACACCCTCCACAGTGAATAAGAAGGGGTCAGTCTTAGTCATACCCCTGCACACAGACATGACACACACACACACACGCACGCACTCTGAGGGTCCGAAAGTGTTCGTGTGCCGCCACGTGCACATACTTGTTCACGCCGAACACATTTTTGATGAGGCCGTTGTCATTGGCGTGCACCTCGACCACCTGCTGGTTGTCGTCGAGGCGCATGAGCTTCACGTCAGCTACGCTTTTGAGCTGCGTCGGTAGGAAGTTGTTGTAGAGGAAAAGCTTCACGTCAATCACTGTCTCGAAGCTGCCATCGATATCCACCACATCGAGCAGGAGGGGGACCGAACTGCGGCCGCCTGTGGTGCTGCGGAACTGGAAGTAGCGATAATCCGCCAAATCAATCGGGACCAGTTTCGGCGGGCCCAACTCACCATCACACATCTCTCTCCTCCACAGGGGGGGTCGGGAAGAGGTGGGGGTGGTTAAGGGTACTAAGGTTTGGCGGAACCGGGGGGGTCAAAACGAAGGTTGTGAGCTTTCCAGATGAATGAAGGGTGATTCCGTACGAGGACTGCCCACCAGCGTTGGCAGCGGTGATTCATCTCATCTCATGTGTGAAAGGAAGGCTCACCAGCGATGGCGTCTGATGGGCTCGATAAGAGGGTGGAGTCGTACCTCACCATACACCTCGCTATCGTCGCAGTGGAGTTCCTCTGCCTCATACGTACACAACGACACACACACACACACAGACACGCACACATCAACACATCACATGCATCCATGCCGTCTGCCCGCCCTGTGTGTGCAGTGGTCTACTGGATCATCCGGAAGGTGCGCCGGCGGCTGCTGCAGAAGAGCCTCCGCAAGTTCCCGCCCCGGCGGTTGGCCCTGGAGGCGTCCGACATGACCCGCACCATGTACGTGCAGGTGCTGGAGCAGTTCGTCAAGCAGGAGCAGCTGCCACACGCCGTCAGACCCAGCAAACGAGACGCCGCCGACAAGGGGTGCGACAGGAACGACGAGTGCGATAGACACGTCCACCACAGACAGGTGGGCCATGCGTGCATCACACGGGCAGGGAGGGAGGGAGGCGGTGTCGGGCAGGGGTTCGTGGATGTGTGTGTGTGTGTGTGTGTGTGTTCAGGAGATAGCCTTGCAGTGGCACAACATAGAGACGGCGGCGTGCTCGTATGACCGCAGCCTCAGACGCAAGAAAAACCAGACAGTGCGGGAGTACCTCCACAGTGAGCGAGCCGAGCCACACACGCGCCCCATGGATGTGTCAGTCAGCTCATGGAGACGTACGTACGTGTGGCGGGCTGTGTGCGCCTCGCCTCGCCTCGTTCAGGTTTGGTTGATTTGGCGGGAGGTGGGGAGGCGTCCTTCCGAAACAATGTGGAGGACTACCTGACGTACTACGAGCTGGCCAAGTTCAGCGACCGGGAGTTCGACGCCAGATCGTTCGGAGAGGTCATGAAAATCGTACTGGCACTCATTCAGAACCTAGAGGGTCCGCAGAACCAACACACCCACACCCACACCCACACACCCACCCACCCACACACACACAACACCGACCAGTTCAGAGCTGCGCTGTATGTGTGTGTGTATCATTCAGGGAATCTCGGCCGCCGGTCTCGTTCGTCGCCCGCCACCCCCCTGGGCCCGCCGGCCGACCACTCTCCAGTAAAGCCGTCATCAGCCCACCTCCACCACCTCCACCATTACCCCGACAGCGACACGTCTCATGGCGAGCAGGGGCGGCGGCGGCGCGAGGGCGGCAGGTGGATGCGGCCACGCAGGGCACACAGGGATAAAGATAAGGGTAGAGATAAGGGTAGGGAGCGGCGGAGGGGCGAGGGGTAGGTAAAACAGACGGACAGACGAGGGTGGGAGAGGAGAGGGGGAGAGTGTGTGTTAGGGAGGGAGGGATGGGTTGTGGCGGGTTGCTGACGGACGTGTGTGTTCGGGTGGATTTTGCTGACGGAGGCGATGCATGGTGTCTGATGTCCGTCCTTAGCTTCCATCCCTTGTTTGTGACGGAGACTCCATCCATTTATTGGAGTGTTGTCTTGTCTTGTCTCCTGTCTGTGTGTGTTGATATGTTCATATCGGTCGATCATAGAGACCGTTGCTTGGTTCCTTTCAGTCAGTGTCCAAACCTCGCTGCCGTGCCGTACACGCCACGTCATGGCCTGGCCCAGTGTGTCGTCTCCCTCGTCGCCCACCGTACCGCAACAGCGCTGATTTGGACGATGCACATCGACCAAACAGCGACGTCGCCGACAGTGGGTCGTCAGAGAGAACAAACCCGAGCATTGATTGCACTTGACCAGCAGCACTTGTCTTGTCTGTCGCTCCCGCTCGTTGATTGAGTGATTGATTCGCTTCGGCCGCACTCACTGAGTATCTGTCCATCCTACCTCAGCATGCAGCTAGACACTCTATCCACGTGTCTGTCTGCATTCTTCCTCATCTTATTCCTCCTCCAGCTGTTGCTGCTGCTGCATGATCCTGCGTCTCTTGGCCTGGCGCACCCACCGCCCCATGCGCACCAGCTTGCGGTAGTTGGGCATCGGCAGTGTGAGGCGCGGCCGTTTCCTGACACACACACAGAACAACACACAGAGACACACACAGAGACACACACACACAGACGTCCGTCCATCCATCCATCCGTCCGTCCACACGACACAGCACAAGACAACACACACACACGAGTGCCTCCCTGGCTGGCTGTGTGGCTGGCTGACCGGTCAGTTCTTGTCGATCGAGCAGTGTGTGGCTGCTGTGCGGTCGTCTGTGGCGCCTCGTTGGGGTTGTCGGTGCTCCTGCGGGGGTTGGAGAGATAGTAGCGGGAGTTGCCGCGCTTGACGAGGAAGTCCGCACAGACCAACTCACCCAAATACTCTGGGGACCAACCAAGACAGACAGAGAGACAGACAGACAGACACAGAGAGAGAGAAAGAGGGATGTGTGTGAGTGGTGTGGGGTGTGCGTGTGTGCAGTTGCGGACCGTCAACGCACAGGAAGGCCTTCAACAGATTCTTCTTGACTGCACTCACACACACTGTGTCTGTGTCTGGCTGTCTGTGTCTGTGTGGGCTCGCTGCACTCACCGCACTCGTTGTGTCGCTCGCAGAAGGCGCGAATCTCACCCAACACCGACAACTGAAACATCACGCCACACACGTGGGTAGACAATGGACGGCTCATCCATCCATCGTGTGCACCTGTTGGCCGTCGTCGTGAGCATCGACCGGCGCCATCGCAGCGTCGTCGTCTGAGTGACACACACACACACATCCAAGGACACACGTGGGTGTGGTGTGCGCTAGATCTTTCTGTGTCTCGTCTGCATACCTGCGTGGTCATTGGCCTCCTCGTGGTGCCCCTGCTGGTCGTTTTGGTCGTCATGGATGTCGTCGAGTGTCGATGCCGTCTTGACCTCGAGTGTCATCTGGTGGTGTTGCGTGTCGATGCCGCCACAGGCGCACTCGAGTGGAATCTCGTTGTAGTGAGCCGGCGGGTTCGATGGGTCGGTGGGGATCAAGGGCCTGAAGTGCTTCGGCTCGTACGTGGGAGACACGCGCTCGTCGAGCCTGCAGTGCAGCCAACATGCCACGCGAGTGAGACAGACAGTGAGGCAGACAGTGAGGCGGATGGTCAGTGGTCATTCAGTCTGTCAATGATCTTTATCCGATCCGATGGACGACAGCTGCTTACATCATTGTCATGGTCAGGTAGCGGTCATCTACACACACACACATACAGAGAGAGAGAGAGGAAGGATGAGCATCTCATCTTGTGTGCGTTGATGGGCCTGGCCTGCCTGGCAGCGGGCTGAGCTCCTCTAAAGACAGACAGACACACAGACAGACAGACAGACAGAGGGGATGTCAGTGTGTGTGGGGTGTGGGTGTTGAGTGGCTGCCACGTGTGCGTGGGGCCGGGTGATTGTGTGGTGAGTGATTGTCTGCCGACTGCATAGCGATTGCGTGCCGCTGATGTGTGGCAACGGCAGCCTGATGGTGGCGGACTTCTGCTGGGTGGCCTGGGCCGTTGCCATTTCTACTCACTCGTCTCAATGCGACGCGACAAGAGAAGAAAGAAAGTGATCTTGTCGCTTAAGAGACATTGACGTAATACGTATGCAACTCATCTAACGAATTCCCGATCGATCGTCCGTTGGTCTGTGTCTGAGTCTGTCTGTCTGAGTGTCTGTCTGTCTGTCTGTCTCTAGATCTGTCGCTCCACTGCATCCCATCCGACGGCGCCGATTTGGACGATATCGACCAAACAGCGACGTCGCCGACAGTGGAGCGACAGAGAAAACAAACACGAGCATTGATTGCAGTGCACTTGACCGAGCAGCACAACCACTCGCTATTCAATCGACCCATTGGGCAAAGAGCCCTGCCAGTCAGACGCAGGGCAGCACAGGACAGTGAAAGAAAGGGCATGCAGGCATGCAAAGCAAGGCAGGCAGGGCACATGACCCCAGTCATTCAAAAGATGATCGATGGGTGGCACCGTCTGTCTCTCTGTCTGTCTGTCTGTCTGTCAGGCAGGCAGGCAGGCAGGCAAGGGAGGTGATAGACAGGCAGGCAGACAGCCAGGCAGGCAGGCAAGGGAGGTGATAGACAGGCAGGCAGACAGCCAGTGAATTACAAACACACCCGCCCTGGCGTGCCCTGCCCTGCCAGGCGCGCGATAGGTGTGTGTACTTGCACGCCTTGTGCAAGACAGACTACCCCACGCACCATGATACATACACCCACAGACGCACTGATGCATCCATGCCATACAGACGGGGCAAGGCAAGGTAAGGTAAGCCAGGCAGGCAGGCAGGGGCAGGCAGGCAGTCTGGACAGACAAGTCGTCAGGAAGCGCTAGCAGTCGTCATATCCATTAAATACCCCCTCGACCGACCGACCGACCAGAGAAGGTGCCATGCCATCAGACAGGTAGACAGGCCATGAAGGATATGCAAGGGAGGGGGGAGAAAGACACAAGGGACGGGAGTCATAGATACATTACATTCATCAGCGATTTAAACATCCCCCGACCAGCCCACCGACCCACCGACCGACTCAAAATCATATCCCCACAGACACGACAGCTGGCAAGGGGGAACCTCTTTCACACACCACACCACACCACACCACACCCACCACTCTGCGCACCCTACAGACCAACCAACCGACCGACCAATCGACCAACCTGTACAGACAAAACGGGCTCCCTGTGTGGATCAAAACTGGGCTGTACACCCAAGCCTGAATAAAGCAAGGACACACGGATCGCTATGCCATCGCCTCTCGTCTTGTCGCCCGCTATGCGCTATGCACAGACAGCTTAAATACATACACACATAGACGAGACGAGCGATCGATCAGCCGGCATGAATTCCCACCCTCGCTCTCCTACGCTTGGCACCCGCCAGCAGCACTCGGGCGGGGTTCCTCAGGCGTCTCACCGACGCTGCTGCCGCCTTCTTGACGACAGCCTTGCTCACAGGCGAGGCCACAGACAGCTTGTCGGGCCTCTTGGTGACGGTCTTCCTCTCCCTCTTGGGGTGGTGAAGCTGGTTCGGCGTGGCCTCCATGGTCCTCATGGTGGGGCCGCTGGTGCTGCTGCTGCTGAATTCCTCGTCAAGGATCTGTGCAACCACGATGCACGACTAGGTCTGCGTATCCGTGTGTGTGTGTGTGTGTGTGCAACGAACCCTGGCTATGAATCTTCTGAGTGCGTCGTATCTGACGTCGTGTCGGTGGGCCACCTTGCAGATGTTCATGTGGTTGGCAGCTGCCACCACCCTCAACTCACCGTACTGAGGGTACGCACTCGCGAGCGGCACCACCTGACCGATCAACCAAAATCGTTCCATCGGAAGCGACCAATGTACTCCGATGTCTCTGTGCCTCCCTGTCTGTGTGTCTGAGGGCCTACCAGGTCCTTTTGGTTGAAAGGCAGCTCCACTGGGATGCTCTCCGCCATCGACAACACACGGATGTCTGCAACAGACACAGAAGCGATGGCATTTGCAGTCAGTCGGCGCTGGCGGTCAAACGGTCAGCTGACTTTCGTTTTGCGAGATGTGTTTGAAGTTCTCGTTGAGTCGGTGTAGCTCGTCTGACGGCCGGAGGTTGTGCGTGATGCCCGAGAACATCGGGCGGAAGAGCCGGGGGACACGGGCGAGGGGGGCGCCGAGATGCGGGACGCCGTAGAAGGCCACGCCTCTCGTCGCGCGGCGCAAGTCCTGCATCAACCACGGACACCATCAGACAGACAGACAGACAGGCTTGTGTCCGCATACACCCACTTTCAGATGTGGTGGTGGTTGTTTGTTGTCTGACCTTGTCCGCCTCCAGCAGCAGTTTAGTGAGCAGCCCTCCAAGTGAATGGCACACGAATATCACCGGACGACCTGGCACACCGACACCCTGCACACACACATCATACACATACACAGACACATTTGAACGCATCAATGCATTCTTTAATCCACCCATCCATCCATCAACCTACTCACCGCTTCCCTGAGGTTGTGCAGCAGTGTGGCCGCCAGATGCTTCAAGTGAGATGCTCTCGTCATCCGCCCCTGCCCTCGGCCGTTGTCGCCCTCTCCTCTCCTCGTGGCTGGCGATGACGGCGTATCAACATGAGAGGGTGACGCTGCTATGTCATCCATCTGGCCGCCCTTGAGCCGCCGCCCTCTGTTGTTCTTTGCAGCTAGAGCAGACCCGCCTTCCAGAGAATGCCCTGCGAGTGCCCTGGGCGGCTCTGAGTGGGCACCAGCCGTCTTGACACGATGTGGCCGGGTTGGGGAGTCACTCCTGTGGTCGTTGTGTTGGTGTGGGTGTCGGTTGGCCTGGCTGCTGGTGCTGGGGGAGTGTCGTGGAGTGCGCTGCCGGAACAGAGGGGCCTGCAAGGAACGGCACCGGACACAGGAGGTGTGTTGGCTCATGCATGTCATGTGGGCGTGTGTCTGCTTGGCTGGGTCCCTTACTGGGTAGTTGACAACGAAGATGCGAGATTGCGGAAAGTCGACAGGGAGGAGTTCCCGCGGCCAGTGCTCATCTTGGTTGGACGCCATGTCCTCCATCTCCGTCTGCTGCTGCTCCTCCTGCTGCAGCTGCCGCTCGATGTGCTGCAAACCCTCCACCAACGCCTCGGTCGTCGCGCCGTCGACACCCTTGCCCGCCTCGCTCAACAGACGACCCCAAAAACGACTGATCAAACAACCAATCGACCCATAGGCAGGCACAATTCATGACAAGTGAGAAAATCGTGGCTGGGCTACTCTCTTTCGCTCACCCAAGGTTGACCGGTGACATGGCCAGCTGCTTGGCGAAGTGCCGGACGCGCAGTGCGAAGCCCCCATCGCTCTCGCTCGCCCTCAGGTCATCCGCTTCATCCGCCTCCCTGATCGACGACAGCTCTCGGTCAAGGTCCGCCAGCCACTCAGACACACTCTCGCTCCCATTCACACCCACACCCACATCCACATCCACATCCGCAGCGGGCGACCCGTCACATGTGGCCACCGGTGCCTCTGCTGCAGCGTTGTTGGACCTGCTGCTGTAGAGGGCCGTGATGACTCGCCGGCCCCGGGATGGTGCCGGGCGGCGCAGCGGCTCCGCAACGATGCGGGAAGGAATGGCGTGAGGCAGGCGTCCGCGTGAGCCAGCAGACGGGTGAGCTCTGACAGCAGCAGCTACGGGACGATTGGATGTCTTGTCAACATTTGGTCCACTGCTCTGCTGCTCTGCATTGTCCTCCTCTCCCTTGAGCCGCCGCCATGTCTTGAATGCAGATCCGCGGAGTCCGTGTACGAGCACGATGTCGATGGGGACGCAAGAGGGATGTGATGGCTCACCCGCACCCTGCACACAGACAGAGGGACAGACAGAAGAATGGCTGACAGGGCTCACATGTTTGGCGGGTGGACATGGACATGGACACGCACCTTGCTGGGGGGCTCTGACGCGTCGTGTGCAGGAGGCACAAACATCGCATACACACCTGTATCGCAGGCATTCAATGCACACACACACACACACACGCACCAACGTCAGTCACCTTCTTTGCTGCCTGCGGGCGGTCCATCTCCTCCCCCAGTTACTCCTCACCGTCAGCCACCCGAGGCCAAGGTGATATCTCTCCGCCTCTCCGTTTCATGGCGGCCCCGCCGCCCACCTCCATCTGCATCACATCGGTGCCTCCCTCAGCCTTCACCGGCGCTATGTCACCCATCCTCAGCCACCGACACACTGACAGCCGATACCGCGACGCTCCAACAGGCAGCGCCCGAGGGGCCACAAAGGATAGCCTGTTGGCCCATGGCAGCCGTGGCAGCCGGGGCCCCACCATCCTCCATGGCCGTGTGATGGGCACGCCCCGCCTCCGTGCGCTGGCCGCCCACGCAGCGCCCGCCAGGCCGTGAGCTGCACCCACAAGGCACAGACCCACGCTCCATCGCACCCACCGTCGGCCGCCCTTCTGCGCGCTGTCTTCATCCCGCTGCTGACGGGCTGGCTGTGTGAGCCAAGTGGAGGGGCGAGTGAAAGCGGACGCCCGATATCTCTGCGGGAAGCTGTCGTCGAGGGCTGCAAGGCTGAGGTGGATCTGAAGGCAGATGGCCAACAAGAATAGCGCCCGCCGTAACCGCTGCCCCGTCATGAGGCTCTCGGGGTAAACCTGCGTTTTTCGGACACAACGATCCGCGTGTCGGCATTTAAGAGCTCGCACGGGGGCTGGGGGCTCCAGACCGGTGCTTCGAGCGATGGAGGGAGAGGTCTGCCCCGACAGCAATGCACAAACAGCCAACATAATGATTGTGTGATGGCTGTGTCCGCAGGACGACATCTTCGAGGCCGTCGGGGCGGGCGAGTTGCTTGCTGTTACTAAGCTCATCGACAAGCACGGTGCGGGCCGATGAGCTGTATACGGATGGACTGAGCACGTATACGGATGGACGTACTCTGTGCGGGCCTGTACGTGTAGGTGTGGAGATACTGGACAGACGAGACGAAGATTCATCTAGCAAGGTACGCAACCGAGAAGACGACGGAAATGCGCTCCCCTTTGTCTTCCATGCGCGCAGCCCACGCCCTTCATTGCAGCTGCGACGAAAGGGCACGTTGCCATCATGAAGGTCATGTACGATCGTTACGGCCCGTCGATATTGCAGCAACGAGACATCGTACCGACACAGCCAAATACCCATTCATGCCGCTGGTGATGATGAGATGTCCTGTGCTGTCATGGACTGCAGGGTGATCAGACTGCGCTGCACTGGGCTGCATGGGGAACGAAGCTTGCAGCTGTCAATCAGCTGCTGGCGTGGGATCCCAAGCTGATCGACGCTGTCAGAAGTGCAAGTCGGTCCAGGGTTTAGGGTCTAGGGTTCATAGACCGACGGTCCACTGATCTGTGAGACAGGACGGCTGTTGAGTCTTTGTCCGTTCCATGAGACAGGCCATGGCGGACAGGACGTCAGACAGGATGGACTGACGCATACTACATGTCCTACGTGGACTCTCCACAAAATCCACAGACCTTACGTTGCATTGACTTAATCCTTTATCCGGGACTGACCGCCCGGCAGATCCTCTCTTCACCATTCTCCCCGACTCTCTCCCCCCTATTCTGACATGGGCGCAGCAATCTGGTTTGTCTTTTCCGCTTGATCGGCAGTTGGGCAGATCCTAACAGGTCTGTCTATCATCCGCCTGTCGGCAGTCTGTCTGTGCAGCAGCCTGTCTATCATCCGCCTGTCGGCAGTCTGTCTGTGCAGCAGCCTGTCTATCGTCTGTCTGTCGGCAGCTGA